GCTTTTTATTTCTCTGCTGGTTTTTCGTCAGCAGAGCCCCCATTTCTAGGCTTTTCTCCATGAGGGCCAGAACCTTCTACATCTTTTTCTAAACGAAAGCCGAGATTCTCATTTCTCCCCTGGCTCTCGAAGATTCCTGAAAAACACCAAAGATCACAACAGACTGGATTAAAAATGGCAGCAGTTGGCAACACTCGTGGTGCCTTGGTGAGAGCAGGATTTGTGAGAAAATCTAGCCCCAGATTTCCTAGAATTAAAGGGTGTCTGTGCAGCAATCTCATCTCCTGAGCACGTCAACAAAGTCATGATGAAAGAATTACCCCCCCCCCGACTTTGCTTTTTATTTCAGATGTTGTTTATTTTCTCTTTGCCTGGCCAGCAGTGTTTGGGCTTCCAATCCGGGGTGGAGTGGAGGGGGAGACATTTAAATGCAAACTAATAACTGTTCCAGTTGTTATTTATTTTTTAAATCATGAAAACATTTGTATTAGTTTTTGTAATTTTTTGAAAACAAAAGCTGTATTTTGTGCCTGCTGCACTGGACACGTTTATTTGCATTTAAACCTGAAAAGGGGACTAGTGCTTACAGTTATTCTGATCCCTTAGAAGGATCCTTGTCTGGTGCATGTGGCTGGTTGGATACATTCCAGTCTAATGCCATATATATTGGAAAAGACGTACGGTTCTAAACATAATAACGTGGAACCTGTTCTCAGTAGGTGGCATCTGGTCGCTCGATACCTGATTTCTGCAACCCGCCCTGCTCTGTTCCACAAGCAGCCCACAAGAGCCAACTGAGTGAATGGGGGTCTGTGGGCAGGGGGTAGAACTGGATCACAATTAGCAATGGGCCTAAATCAAGTCCAGCCGCAGAGGTGGGGCCTAACTTGTGTGCCATTGGGAACAGGGCCGGCTCCAGGTACCAGCGCAGCAAGCTGGTGCTTGGGGCAGCCCACGGAAGGGGGCGGCATGTCCGGGTCTTCGGCGGCGGGTCCCTCAGTCCCTCTCGGAGGGAAGGACCAGCTGCCAAATTGCCGCCGAAGAATGAAGCGGCGCAGGAGAGCAGCCGCTGATCATGGCTTTTTTTTTTCCTCTTTGCCGCTTTGGGCGGCAAAAAAGCTGGACCCGGCCCTGATTGGGAAGTGTTGGGAGCTGCAGCTTTGGGACTAGATGCTCAGTTACACCCATTTATTCCAGCTAAGCACCTGGCTCTCGGGTTTAGCTCTCCTCTCTCCTCTGTTAAAGGAGTGAGTGAGGAGCCCCTCTCTGTTCAGCAGCTGTGAGCAGATGCTCCTGGCCCTGTTGATCTTCCCAGAGACAGCCTCATTACTGCTTCCTCTCGCTCTATACTGTGTACAATCTTGAACAGGAACAGGGGGCAAACCAGTCCCAAAGGAGCCAGAGGTGCCCACATGCCGAAAACGGGGTGCCTCACAGCATCGGCGCTACCTGGCTTTTATTGTGGACGCTGGCTGCTGTGGTTTGCAGTTTGCTGATGATGTGGCAGCAGCTGGGAAGAATGCCTGGAGGCAGGAAAAGAGGCTCCTGAGAGGCAGAGGTCACTTCGGTTTGCAAGTCCTGGAGTCGGAAATACAGTTTGCCTGCCCTGAAGGTGAGGATTGCATTTCCTCCCTGAGCTCCAGGCACCCCCCAGGCCTGCCTGCAGAATGCTCTCCGGGCCTGGAGTCAACTACACTCCCCAAAACGGGCCATCTCCACCCCACATTCCTGGGCCAGGGAAGGATGGACACTGTATTCTTTCATTTAAAAAGTAGCCAAAGCTCCCTCCCAGGAGACACAAAGCCTTTGTGTAAAACAACAACATTGCATTCTCTCGCTCCCAGCGGCTTTGGGCGAGGGGCTGCGTCCAAGAGTCATTTTGTTAAAGATTTGTGCACGGGTTGTGTGAGATTCTTGCCTTATGGAGGCAAACCAGTGCTGATAAGAGCGTGAATGAAACAAGCTTACTTGTCTCGAAGCCGGGTGGGGGTGGAGGTCGCCCAGCTTGGTACTTGCTTTGCACAGTGGCTGGCTCCTTCCCTCTCTTGTACCGTGTGGGTCTCTGTTTCCTGAGTGCAATGCAACCTCCCGTGTCCTCAGTACCTCTGCACCTTGTAGTGCCTTTCGTCTGAGGAGCTCCCAGGACTGTATCCTGAGGGTTCACTGAGCACTGCCAACGCGCTTGGTGCTGTACAGGCTCAGAGGAGCAGGCAGTCCCTGCAGACACGGTACAGAGGAGACACACCTCTGCAGACTGCAGGTAGAATCCAGCCGCTGTACATTCTTGAGGCTGTCTATCTTGGAGGGCTTATCAATAGTGCTAGAAATGGTAGTTAAATCTTGCAGCCCCCTTGTGAGGGAGAGAAGGAAGAGCGGTATTATTACATACTATGTATGGTACAGGTGGGGAAACTGAGGCACATAGCATGTAAGTGACTTGTCACCTTCCATGTGGCTTGTGAAGTTACTCGACCAGCGTAGGGAGTAGAGCACAGGAGCCTTGGCTGGAGTGGAGTGAGCTGTTCGCAGTTAACGTTTCACTTACCAGATTTAGCGCTTTCCTGTTAGGTGACTGTCCACAAGCAGATCGCAACTTCCACAAATGTATCTGCATGTTGGAAAATACCCCCTGGATGGTTCAGATGAACATGCTTCAGGCAACGGGTGGGCTGGACGGCTGCGAAAAGTCCAATAGACACTGCTTGAAATTGGAGATCTTTTGAAAAGCTGCATAAGTCACATAAGTTTCTGTTCCCTGATTGGGTGAGCAAAAGGCAGAGGTGAATTCTGGCGATTCCGCATTCTAAATTCGCTTGGTGTGAATATCTTGCCGTGTCCCCACAGAGTCACTGCCAGTCCTACCAGCACTCACTGTGCACAGAGGGTGAAATTCACCCCTGTGCCGACGGCTGACACAGCCTTGGCCCTCCTGAGCACGCAAAGGGTTCTGGTGGGATTTAGGGGGCACGCAGGCCCAGAAGAACGAACGCAAAACGGAGGCACTAGATGGACCCGGGGTCTAATCCAGTCTGTTTTGTATGTGCCTGTGTAGTGATAACAGACACGTCTATAGTGACGTGCCAAGGGCATGCTGGGATAGATTGCGCACACCAAATGAGAGAGCCCCCCCTGAAAATGACACGCCAGGAGCTTTGCTGTCTGCAACAAACTCCAGAGCTGGGGGGTATTTCTGCCTCTCCCCTGACACCATCAGTCTCCATGCAGAGACACACAAGGTGGGTTTTTTAATTAATTGGCACCGATTGTGTTCCATGGAAACGCTGTTCAGGAGAGGCAGGAGTACCACGAAGCCATGGGGACCAAGCTGGCTAAATGCTGCTTCTCTCCACGTACATGCTCAGAAAACAAGGTACAAATCTCGCACCTGACCTGTTTTAACCCACCAGAATGGGGTGATGCTGGTCAAATGTTCCGTTCGATAATTGCTTAACAGAAATTATTCCCAGCAAAAATTTGACCTGCCCTCACAGAGCACTTCAGCTCATCAAGTGTCCAACTAGTCCAACTGTGCCGAATGTAGTGAGGGCACGGAACAGCTCGTCCTGCTGGCAGAAGGCCTCTTGCCACGCTCTGCTGCATGAGGAGGAGTTGGGTTAGATTAAGGGTGCAAAAAGAACAGGAGTACTTGTGGCACCTTAGAGACTAACAAATTTAAGGGTGCAGTTAGCTGATGTATTTCTTTAAAGTGAGGCCGTGCCAAACTAACTCCTTATGCGAAGATGTTAATTGTCACAGTGGTGCCTGCGGATCGCTGTGTCTCTTTCAGTGACAAGACCACTCTTGTTTCCCCAACTCTGCTGTACTGAACATCTGCCCTTCACTCTTTGCTGTTTGCACTCAGGGGCAGCTTCTAATTCCTTGATCCTTTGGGGAAGAAGTAACTCAGCTGACTGAACCAGAACCACCCAACTTGAAATGGCCCAAAGCCTGACGGCTGGACCAGCCTGCCTTTCTGTGCTGGTCACATGCTGTCTGACTTCAGATAACTGCATTTCGCTTCTCCATGCAAAGTGCTTTACATTCCCTTCTTCCAGCTGGTAAATGTAAAATGCTTTCTGGTCCACCAGTTTGTTTTCCATCTTGGCACTTCAGAACAGCCCACAAACACACATGCAGACCCATATCTCTCCAGCGCACTGGCTGTGGGATGTGGACCATGACCCAACATAGCTGGAAAACTCAAAGCCATGTATAAATATGTGTGTGTAGTGGTGGGTGAGTCAGCATAGCTGGAGCTAAGGTGTGCATTTGTATCTATAGGTGTACATACACGCATGCACCTTGGCTCCAGCTATGCTGTTTCACCCAATGCTACTGCACTGGGGGGGGCGGGGGCGCGGGGGCAGGGGAATTCTCTGTTAATAGCATTGTGCATTTTGTATACAGGCCAATCAATACAGTATTTAAGGGAAATTGACCGACTGCTCTGCTTTGCTGGGGATCACTGCACGTGAGGAAAGCCCTATTGGGAGCTGCCTCTGCTGCTGAGCTGTCTTATTCTGCTCCAGCACGTGCTCCTTGTGCATCGTTGTGGGACAGGGTGAGACGTGGGAAGCTCACTGAGGCCCTCACCAAATCGGACATTGATTCATACGTGGGCTTTTGCAGCTGACAATGTGAATTCAGCCTGTCACCGATTGCAGGAGCCAGGAATGCGTTTGATCACGCTACTGTCACAATGCATTAATGGGCCATGGACCGGCAGTGACAGGAAGGGCTTGAGGAATGAGCCGAGGGTGGGCGATATGTCAGAGAGCAGAGGGAACTCTGCTGCCGCTTCTCCTCAGAGACGCTGGACGGAGGGGTGGGCTTGGGGGGTGGGAGTGGGGAGAGTTCATTCATTTCGAAAGCATCCAAGACCTCATCCTTTGACAACTTTGCATCCAAGTCCAACCTTCCTTCTGCACTGTGTTGCCAGGTCCCTAACCTGTGAGCAGATCTGAGAGGTTTTAATGGCTGTGTTTGCAACTGTGTTTCAGGTAGGTGATCAGATGAAACTGCTGCAGAACTGCTGGAGTGAGCTGCTGGTGTTTGACCATATCTACAGGCAGGTGCAGCACGGGAAGGAGCACAGCATGCTGCTTGTGACGGGCCAGGAGGTAATGTCCTCTCCTTTGTTGGGAAAAGCCTTGCAGTGTTTCAGCAGACTGTGCCTTTCCACTGCAATTCCTGCATTGCTAAGTGGTGCAACAGCATGAAGGGGTTGGGAGAGCATAGCTAATAGTGAGCCTGCATTATTGCTGCAGATGGATTGATGGACACAAAGAGTGGAACAGCCTCGTGCCTCTGACGATGCTTTGGGATACTAACCAGAGCCGGGTGATATGGGGACCGTTTCCCTCCCGATTTGTAACTCTGCTGCCCCTGTTCATGTCAGGATTTGCAAATCTGCCATATTTCTGCAAAGGAAAATCTTCCCCTTCTCACCATTTATTCCCAAAGGGGATTGATGAAAAGTCACTTTTCTTTGCCATTTTTGTTTTCACCCAATTGAGATCAGAAATTCCACTGCTTCCTCGCTGGGTCAGAACCAGTGTTTTTAATCCAAAAGGAAAGCACGTGAAAGGCACCATGTGCCTGCTGGTTAATCTGTTGCTATTAAATGTGTTTCATTGCCCTAGTTGTGGGTCTGGTAACATCTCTCTAGGATCAGAGGCAGCAAGATGTAAAGAGAAACAGTAACAGAGCCCTGCATTGTTCTTAGGTGTGTTATGGTAGGACCTAGAGGCGCCACCCCAGATCTGGGCCCCACTGCACTGGGGACTGCACAAACACATAGTCAGAGTCAGTCCCCGCCCCTAAATTGAGCACAGAGATGGCATTTTTATCCTCGTTTTACAGAGGGGATCTGGGGCACAGGGAGGCTAAGGGACTTGCCCAGGGTCATGCAGGGTGGAGCTAGGACTTGAGCCAGCAATCCTGATCCCCTTTCCTACAAGGCCAGCCTTCCTGAACTGGTGTGTGAATAAAAACAAAACGCTGTCCTTGCAGAAGGAGAGTCATTCGTTGTCTGCTTCCCTGTGAGGATGCCAGTTTCCCAAACATCCTCCTTGTCCAGTCCAGTGTCCTTCCCTCTCTCCAGCTCCCTCTCCAGACACCTCCACGTAAATTACGATTCCCCAGCACCCAAACCCTCCACTAGCACGGGAGATTCCCCCGGACCCTGCGTCCGATGTGCCTAGTGGCAGAGCCCCCTCTGCGGCCGGTCTGGCTGCTGCAGAAAGAATGTCTCTGGGAGCTCCGCGGGCCTGAGCCAGGCTTCATTAACTGGCTGGATCATTTTCTTTGCAGCTGATTGCTTTTTAAACTTCCTGGCCTTGATCCCGTGGACTGGGCTGTGACGGCGAATCCCCGTCACATACCTGGGGTCTATATTCACGACTCCAGTGGTTACGGCCACACCCAGGAGCCCTGAGTTTAGAGGCAGCCGGGGGGTTCACTTTTGGGTGAGCCTTGGGCCAATTCAAGGGCTGCGGGGCAACATTTAAAGTGGGGGAGGCATCGACACCCCCCTCTTAAATCCCCCCCCCGCCCCCAGCAATCTAATCCCCCGGCCCCTGGCCCATCAGCCCATGCAGCCACCCCCTCCAGATTTTAGTGAGTGACGTTGTGAAATGGTGCACTGGCTCACTCTCAGGTCTGGCCTGGCCAAAAAGTAATCGGGCTGTGCCCCCCCTCCCCGGCTCTGCAGCCTATGGGCCAACTGGTTTTGTATGGCAGCCACTGGAAACTCAGCGGCTTTGCAGGGCTGAAGTCAGGCCAGCCTGGGCAGTTTTGGTTGCTTAGCGGTGGGGCTCGTTTGAACTTCAGACTCCAGGATGGGAGCCCATGTGAACCAAAATCCATCTCCATAGTTTCAGACAATCTCAGCATTCCCAGCTACGTGGAGCCCAAACTGGGAAGAAAAAATGGGTGACTTTTGTCTTACTTCTTTCCCTCTGGCGAAGGTCCTCCCGTCCCGCCTCCTGCGTGAACTAAGGTTGACCCAAGCAGATGCCTGGTGTTTTGTTTTTGCTGGGTTCCGGAATTGTTTTTGCACAAGGGGAGAAATAATGATCTGTAGATAGACCCAAACCATCCCCGGAGCACAGGCGGCCGGCATGTACTGCCTTCCAGCCAGGGGAGAATTCTTGGGTTTGGAGCAAAATGTTTCTCATAAGAAAAATCAACAGTCATGTCTGTATTTACAGAAACTGGGTGTGAGAACAGACCAGCTCTGTTTGAATAGTAGATTTTGCAGGGAACATGGGAACAAAGTCTCCCCAGAATCGCAGCCTGATCTTCCAGCTATTCCCAGGACAGCATTGCTGTTGTGCAGTGAGGGCTTCCTCTTTAAATACAAATTAAAACAAATATAACACAGAAGATTGCTATTTTCTCTTGTTTGTCTCCAAGTTACCCCTGTTTATTCTCTAAAGTGAGATTCATCCTGGCCAGAGGACCTGTGCAGCACTGTTTGGGATGCCGTGGGGCTTAAATTGTCTCCTGGGTTTATACTGGCTACCCAGGGATGAATTTCACCCTGACTCCGCAGTTCTGCTGCCTCTATCCTGTAATGTTTTAGCCACAGGCCAGAATTGGCTGCTGCTCCCTGCCCTCCTGGGAATCAGGGAAATCCATCACCTGTGCCAGGGGGGCTGGAACAGTGTGTAGTGGGGGCGCTGAGAGCCATTGAACCAAACTGTAAACCCTGCGTATGATGGAAACCGCTTCAAGCCAGGGGGTGTGGCTAGTTCCAGTACCTATGGCCTGGGCATGCAGCCACGCTGCCCTGTAGCTATTGTTTGGCTAGCTGAAAACCCTGCCAAGGTGGAGTTTGTTCCCTTCCCTCCACTGCCAGTTCCCTGTGATAATCCAGCCAGAGAGAGGGAATAATTCTAAATCCCATTCAGCCAGTCTTACGGCGGTGGGGGACACCGCGAGGACACCCTTAGGGTGCAGAGGGCTAGTACAAGACCTAGGCACCACTGAAGTCGTGGCTCGGCTCTGTGCTGCGGGGTGAATCTCACCGGAGGAGTCTTTTCAAGTCCACCTCCAGACCCACTGTGGTGTTGGCTATTTGCCGTCCCTAGGACAAGGAGCAGGAGGGGGGTTTAAAATGAGCAGCTCATGCCGTCTCCAAAGGCAGGGCGTAGCTAAGAGACACTGTGGGGTCTAGACCCCGCACGATGCCTCGCAGTGGGGTACGCGCCGCTCCTCAGGCCCTTGCAGTGTGTGATGCTCCCGGCCGCTGATCCCGGCTTCCTTCTTTGCTTTCAGGTGGAGATGGCGACAATCGCAGCTCAAGCAGGGTCCAACCTGAATAACCTGGTCCTGAGGGCACAAGAACTGGTCCTACACTTGCATTCGCTCCAGGTGGATCGACAAGAGTTTGTGTGTTTGAAGTTCCTGATACTCTTCAGTCTCGGTAAGTGCCCCAGAAGGGGCTGAGTTCTGCAGGGTGCCTGGGGGAGATGCTGGAATGCAAAGCGCTCTCACGCACAAAGCCAGCAAAGGGAACGGCGGAGCGGCTGCTCTCTCGCGTTGCCCCAGTTGGTGGGAGCATGGAGAGCGGTTATTAGAGACTGTTGTTATTTACTCGTGGCACAGTCGCACCGAGAGACCACAGCCACGACCGAGGCCGCATTGTGCCAGGCACGCTGTGAAGCGATAGTAACAGACATCCCCTGCCCCAAAGAGACAAGGAGGAGGGGGAGAAAGGGAGTATGGTTCTCCCCAATTCACAGGGGGAGCGAGGCACAGTGGGACTGCGTGACTAGAACCATGTAGCTTGTATCCAGACAGAACGTGACTTGTTTTTAAGCTGACTGCATCTCCTCACGGTGTGTCCCATGGAAGCCTTTCCGCCTCCGGGTAACCCCTCCAGAGATAAGGGGTTTACACCACAGACACATTGTGCCTCCTTGTTGAAAATCCTTCCCAAACACCTCTCTGCTCTCTGACAGACAGTGATCTCTCACTGTGGTGAGAAGGGGACCAGGCTGGGGGGGAGGGAGGAAGGGATTGCTCAGTGGTTTGAGCATTGGCCTGCTAAACCCAGGGTTGTGAGTTCAATCCTTGAGGGGGCCACTTGGGGATCTGGGACAAAATCAGTACTTGGTCCTGCTAGTGAAGGCAGGGGGCTGGACTTGATGACCTTTCAAGGTCCCTTCCAGTTCTGGGAGATGGGATATCTCCATTAAATTTAAAATTTTAAATTTAATTTGGGCTGCAAAGCACCAGTTCTCTGCAGTGTGAAGGGGTGTCAGAGATTCAGGGGAGCTACAGAGAGATGCACACAGGAGCAAAGCAGTCAGTGGGATATGGGATCCGATCTTCCCCTGGCAGAGGATCTCAGCTTGGTGAAACACAGCCTCCAGGGTATGTGGGAGCATGTGTCTCAGTGCAGGTAGACAGACATGGGCTAGCTCCCCTTGTTAAAAATCATAGCCCAGCAGCATGGGCACTGGCATGGGCCAGCTGCCTGACTACAAGCCCGCCGATCCCCTGGGTGCATACTTGCGTGGCCAGCCCAAGCCACTGCCTGTGCCACCTCGACCACACTAGTGTTCGGCACGCTAGCTCACGCAGCGCTAGTGCGCCTGTCACCCTGCGCTGGGAAGCGCCCTCCCAACTGTTCTGGAGATGACTTGGTGGGCTAGAGGGTCCCTACGCTGCTCACGGGTAGAGGAGTGCTCAGGCACCGTGGGCCAGGAGAAACACACAGACAGGGCCTGGTGCTCCTGTCAGGGCGGCATAGCTAGAGATTGGAAGCCTGGTTTCTAGAGACATGAACCCCCTTTGCTCCTACTGACGTGTGTCCTGGGATTCAGAGCTGCTTTGGGGTGAGCTGCTCTGAGCAATTCCCTGGCTCCTGCTCGCTTCGGCCTGTTCAGTGCAAGGTGCTGTTCAGAAACGTTTAAGTCCTGCTGGCTGGCTGAGGCCAGCTCTCCCCTGTGTCATCCCCACAAGGGCTAAGATCTGCCAGGGTCTCTGCTGGGAGTTCCTGGAACAGCAGGTGCTAGAGCCTTCTGGACAGATGCACTTGGCCTGTGTGGCCTGCCAGAGCCAGGGTTGTGCTGCCTGTATAAAGTGTCACTCAGGGTGTTAACCGACCACCACTGTGGCAGGGCATGAGGCACTCAGAGGTGGCTACATGTGAGGCAGCCGGAGGTGACGGGTATTGGGCACTGAAGACATGGAATGAATACATGAGCAAATGGGTGAAGCAGAGTTTGCCACAAGGGACGGGTGGTGCCATGCTGGAAGTCAAGAGAGAGCCTTTATTAGAGGTGATCCTTAATAGCAGCCAGAGGTTTGCAGTGGATGGGCCTTCCCTGCAGGGCCATATGCCATGAGGGCTTCTGCTCATGGTTCCAGCGTTCTCTGCGCAAAGAGCCACTGGCTTTCCCCATGGCCCGGGCCCCTGAGGGACGGCATAGGATCAAAGGTTCCATAGGGCCAGTGCTTCTCCCGGCTCAGCTCTGCAGGCTGTTCTGCAGGTGGTGGTTTTCTGGGGCGGTAAAGACCAGAGGGAGCAGCACAGATGATAGGTCTCAGAGTGTCCCCCTGCCCCGAAGATGTCTAAGAACCTGCTGGGCGCAGCTGGGCTGTGGGCACGTCCCCCCTGCATTCTCTGAGTCGCCGAGCCCAATTCAAAGCCTCTCTGATGGGGTGGAAACTAAAGGGAAGCTCGCACCAGACCTGGTCAGAGCCGCACACAAAAATGGCTGTGACCTGCCATTATCGGTGAGTCTGTGGGAGGGGAGAGGTGATTACAGTGTAGAGTCTAAAGGGAGCGCCAGAGACAAACATGCTGAAAATAAACCTGCTGAGCTGGCAACAGCCAAAGCGCTAAGTTAATTAGACAAAAACCTTTGTAAAATAGCTTGTAGCTTTATCAAGAACCAGGAGGAACCAAATCAAATGGCAACTCCTCACCTTTGTCCCCAGAGTCTCTCTCGGGGAGGCAGCACCTCTGCCTGAGGCCCCGGGGCTGTTTGCAGCATCGCCAGTTCCCAGAGGCTCATCCCACGGTGGTGTTTCCCAGGGGCTAGTGCTGTCGCCGGGCATCACTCCCCGGGGGAGGAGTGGCCATGCACAGCCTGGGCTGAAAGCAGCTGTTAGATAGCTGCAGCAGCAAGACATTCCACAGGCTCGGGGGCTGTAGTGTGAGCGTATTCGGGATCCGGGACTGTCTCTGGCCAGTGCTCGGTGCCCCTCTCTGCACCTGGCATCCCTCCTCGTTATGTTGGGTATTTATTTGTGTTGCGGTAGTGTCTAGACACCCCTAGTCAGGGCTCAGGGCTCCATCAGGCTAGGAGCTGTATACAGGCAAGTAATACAAAGCTGGCCCTTGCAGTATAAAATGAAAGACAGCGGGTGGATGCAGCGTAGAGGTGAAGGCAGGCACCCAGTGACAGTCCACTGGGTCTGAGCTGTGTGACAAGCAGCAGGCCCCATGCACCCGCTGGTGGGCTATTGCAGGCAGCGCAGCAGAGGTGAGCTCTAAGGGAGAGAATTGAGTGAGGACAATGAGAGGTGGCTTTGCAGACTGACGTTATTCACAGCTCTTCCTCCCGGTCGGGGACCTCATCCTGCAAACACTTAGGCACGAGAGTAACTTTACTCATGGATGCAATTCCATAGATTTCCGTGGGGCTATTCACAGGAGTAAAGAATATTCACAAGCAGAAATGTTTGCAAGATGGGTCCTTGTACAGCAAAGTTGCTGAGTGAATTACACAGGGCCATGCTGCAGCTACAGTTAGTTATTTTTAATGTGGCATCTGGTGTGAATACAGTCCCTGAGGTGAGCCCTGCAGAGAGCACTGGGGTGAACAGGGGGAGCATTAGACAATAGTATTTCAATTGTGCCTGTCGAGGCTCAGAGCCCCATCATGGGAGGCGCTGTGCAGCCACGTAACAGAAAGCTTAGCAGTCTAGATGACCAGATAATATACTGACATCCCTCCACCTCCCTTGGCTTGCAGCTCCACACAGAATTTTTTAAAGCAAAAATATTTTTATTTTCATCAGATCATTTCCCAGAACAACCTTTTCTCCCCCGGAACCCCAGAAAACAGTGGTCCTGCCGAGAGGCAAGTAGTGGGTGAGATCCCACCTTGGTCAGCATGCAAGGGCCAGTGCAGGCATAAAATAGGGCCTGTTTTGGGCAGTGAAACAAAGTGGCTGATAGGGCCTTTACAAAACAGCCGTGTTGACAGGAGCCTCGCGTAGGGACTGGCTCTATCTAGCTGGATTTGCGTCAGAGGAATGCAGGGCAGGGAAGCGCAGATTTCTCATGATATAGCCACCGTCTCGGAGTCTGTGGTAAAAGTAACTCAGGCTGATTCACATATTTACTTCTCACCTAGACACAATATCGCCAGCCGCCACTGGCTGCGAGGGGTAGGGCTGGGAGAGCTGGCCCTCCTGCGGGGCCCGGCACGTTTCTGGGGGCCTTGCCACAGCCTTTGCCAGCCCCTTTGGCTTGTACATTGGCCTCCCCTCCCCTCTCGAAAGCCCCACCCCTTGCCGCAGTTACCATAGCAACACGCAGCTACAGGAACAGAGCCTGCTGCAGGTGCAGGCTGCTACTGACCCTGCAGGCGTCTAATGCTCACCTTGCTATGGTCCCGTCGCCAGGCAGAGCGCCCGCCTGGGCTGCCTCGTCCCCCGGCACGCGCACATGGCGGTGAGGGGGTGGGTGGGCGGCTCTGGGGACTGACAGCCTCTATTTAGCCACCGAACAGGTACAGCCTGGACATCCGCAGGGCAAGCGTCCCCCCAGTGTAGGGTGACCAGATGTCCCGATTTTATAGGGACAGTCCCGATTTTTGGGTCTTTTTCTTATATAGGCTCCTATTACCCCCCCCCCCGTCCCGATTTTTCACACTTGCTGTCTGGTCACCCTACCCCAGTGTGCCCACCCTGGCCTGGAGGCCCTGCCTGGGTGAAGTGCCATGGGCACTTCCCTGTGACACTGCTAAGCTCA